TATGGTGGTGGTGGCGATTGGGGTGCGTGTCCCCCCGACGATGGTGGTGCCGGCGAGCGGGGTGCGTGCCCCCCCCCGACGATAATATAATAATTTAATAATAATAGGTATTATTAGCTCTTGATATTAGTGTAAGCGTGCAACAGTCGCGCCGCGAAAGCAATAGCGCCGGCAGCGTATGGTTGGACGTAGGATTTGGATGGAATTTACAGGAAACTGTCGGCAATAATAGGTGAAAGAGAGTATAGAAACATTAAGAATTTGGTAGTAAATAGATTTCGTATTTAGTTAGCATTATATTTTATTGAAACGCTTCAAGTGCCTGTGGGCCAGTAGGCACTCGATGCAACAGTCAACACTGAACCGAGGTATATTTTTAGAAATCAACGCAACGCATGCGCACTTCCGTTTCTTGGCGGAGCGAAGGGTTATAGTTCTAGAGCTAACTGCACACATGCCGCTGTGTGCATACAACAAAAATAAAGAGAAGGGGGAAAGCATGACTGCAAAATTCGCACGATGATCTCTTCGGTTCATATTATCACAGCACAAATTGTACACAAACAATTAACCTCCATTTTGGTATTCACTGCTGTGATTGTGAATTTGTGTGTTGCTGAGTAGCATTTGAATGGCATCTACATGGGATTACTAGGTGCATAGGTAGTACATAAACAAGTACAATTTTTAAAATACAAAATTACAAAATTTTTACAAAATTTAGTAAATACAATTTACATTTATTTACCATCATTTATTATCACCATAGTATAAGTGCCTGTGGATTACGTACGAGTCTATGACTACGAGACATGCAGTGATGATCGATTTTGTTTTTATAAGCGAGTATATAATTTATAGAGCTCTGCAAACAATCGATTTTGATTATAATTAATCATTGGGCCTTCTTTGACCTTGCACTACGCCCAAATTTTCTAATATTTGGCAAGGCATTCTAATTCACACTTACGTACGCACACACATGCACTTGTACGTATATATATATATATGTATATTATTATATCTACAGCTCTGATGATGATGTCGACACCTTGTTGGATGGAACACCACAGAAAAAGAAGGAGTTTGTTAATCTTTTCATGGGTGAAGAAGAGTTGAGTGAGGATGAGTTTGAAAAAGACATGATGAAAGAGTTGGATGACACCGTAGCAGGATTGGAATTCAAAAAAGGCAAGCAAAATGTAATTGTGCACGTTTTTGCTGGGTCTTACTGTGGACTGCAGTATGTAAATATAAATAATGATATTTATATTAAAAAAATGCTTCTTTAGGTTATGTAGGTTGTTGTGTTCAGTTTGGATGTATCGATAGTAGTAGCTGTTGTTGTTTCCATAGTTACATAGAAGCATAAATATATAACTATAACTAGAGAGAATATGCTATTGTTATGTGTGTGTGAGTGCGTGCGTGCATGTGTGTGTATATATATGTATATATAC